ATATAGATTGTTATATAGAGATGATGTCTGAATATATGATATCAGAGTACTGAATTATAAGTGCTGACTGTAAATTCAAGATCACTCAATAGAGCTATTAAGTAATTATATCAGATCTTCATTGCAGAGTTCAGATTATATAAACTATTCTCAACTGTGCAGACAAGTGTTTTCAGTGAATCTGTCTCAAATCTGATAAGTTATCTTATATAGATCTTCTTAGTGAGATGCTCATAAAGATATATTATCACTATATTCACTTAACAGAGTGTTCAACTGTGTAGTGCTGCTATTGTAAAAAGAATATGATTGACAGTATCAGTGATGATAGAAGTGTAGATCTCTTCTCTAGAACTCTTCTTAAGTCAGTTATTATAAATCACTCAATGTGATTTTCTAAGAATATCATCAGAATCAGTATTTGAGTTCACAGATCTATCTTTCTTAAGAAACACTTAACAGTCTGAAGTAATCAGTTCACTTCTCAGAATATCAGATCTAGAGATCAAACTTCATGTATTATATCTCTTCAGATCAGTAATCTTGTGTTGTATGAACTTCTTTTAATAATCTTCTACTCTCTCTGACTGTGATGTGACATTCTTGTAGAACTTTGAAAGGTTATCTGTAATAAGACTTGAAGTGTAAGTAGTCAGCGATTTCATGAGCTGCAATTATATGAAATTCAGATTATCAATATCAGAAGCATCTTCATCATCAATCAGATAAATATCAGGTTTCAGTTCAATAATATGATTAATGAGTTTCACAGATGTAATAACTGGTTTTTCAGTGATCAGAAATCTCACATCACTACTGACAATAATCTTGTCAGATTCAGAATATTATAGATGATATATCAATGTGTCACTGAATTCAATGATATGATAGAAATCAGCATATGAAGAGAGCTTATTCACAGGCTGCTGAAATTCATGCAAGTGAATAAAAATCTCTGCACTCAATCAGTGAAAATGCCTTATATTCAGCAGGGTATTTGTAAGTGCATATCAAGAAATCTTATATGAACTTGAAATCATAGAAGTCTCTGCAGTAGAGGATCAAAATTTTGAGTTGTAAAGAACTGTAGATATGAGAGTATTATTAATTATTATAATCACTGTCTCTAGAACATCTGTTCAGAACTTCTTAGAGAGATTACTCTTCAAAAGAGCAGCTCTAACCTGTTTCATAATAGTGCAGATCTCATGTTCAGAAACATCATTCTGATGTGATAAATGTGATACTGTTGATTCTTATTTAATATTATATGAATTCATAACTGTGTGTATATGTGTGAATCAGAAAACATTATCAATATCAGTCTGTAGAAAAGCAGAGACTGTATATCTGAGATTATTTATAAATCTAAGTCATAACTCAAAGTATTGAACAGCCTCATTCTTGAACTTTAAAAAATATACTCAACAGTAGTAAGTTATGTCACAGATGATAAGCATTCAGTATCTGATTTTCTGATGAGACTCTAAGAGATGATCAGAGAGATCTTTCAATGTACATTCATCATCTGTAAGGTTAATATGAATCTTCTCAATGAGTCAGATAGATCTAGGCATCAGTGTTTTCAAATAATCTCATATTATATCAGCCTTGACACATTTCTTGCAAAAGAACTTAGTCTTAGAATCTTTAATTGTGACTCCAGTATGAGAATTCTTGGCCATAGCAATTATAGCACCAGTGTGAATGTGATTAAGATTGTAATATCAATTCAAAAGAGTTTTTAATATCTTTAATGTCTGTGTCTTGAGACCTGTATTCACGTCCGCAGAATCAACATTATTAACAGTAGTGACAGCAGTCACAGAAAGATCAACTTTTCAATCAAAATTGTACTTGTGAGACATCATTACAATATACTTGACTGCTCTGTTCAGATGATTGAAATCCTCATTGAACTTCTACTTATCAATCTTATATATATTGTTCTGAGTGATCTGAACTGTATGAAAAATAACACTGTTCAGAGCTCTGCAAATGAAAAATAAGAGAATAGTAAAAGATAATGTAAATTGAAATCTCTGATCTTCAAGCTTCATAAATGAGAGCAGATTAACTGTAATATTAGAAATATAGTGAACATTCTGCAAGTTAATATCATCACTCTCAATCTTCAAGATAACAGTCTCAATCTTCTTGATAAACTCAGTTCTCTCAGTCACAGAATTAACAGAGATATTATTATTAAAAGGTTTGATGTTTGAAAAAGAATGAAGCTCACTTATCATATTCAGACTTACACATGTGTTCAAATATCAAGATCTAGAGGATAATTTTCTGATGACTGTGAAAGAGAAATAGAACTCAATCTTTGTAATTACTGTATTTACTGCTAATTAAGAACTCATTAAGTCATTCTTCTTCTCTTTCTTCTTGTCATTCTTCTTATTATTCTTCTTTTTCTTTTTATCAGAGTGTAAGATGAAACATCTGTCAACAGTATATTTATATCTTCTACAGTGAGTACACTTTTATACAGATGTGCTTTTATTCTTATCTTTATTCTTATCTTTGTTCTTTTTTGCAGTCACAGAATCAGTCTGAGACTGCTTTTTTCACTTGATAATGATCTTCTTGAATATCTGATTGATCAGTTACTTTATTAAATCATTGATATTAATGTTGATAATGAGTTTCTGATCAGTGAAGAAAAACTCATTCAAATATATCTTGATAAATGATCTTTGATAATCTTGTAGATTGTTAAGAAAAAGATTATGATATATATTCTTAATACTCTGACAGAGCTTCTTGTAATGAGTAATAAGATAGTGAAAATATCTCTGAAAAGTAAGATAATCATTCTTCTTAACTTATAATTTTATCAATTTCTTAAAGACATTAACTCATTTCTCTGTCAGTGATATTATATATTTCATATTAATCTTGTCTCACAGAGCTGCAGTATTGTCAGCTTTCAAGGTTTTAATAGTGATTTGAATATTTTCAATAAGACTTAATAGTATATATCTATATAGAGACTTGAAATGAATTCTTCACTTCTCAGAGTTAATATGATGTGTAAAAGAAGATTCTCATTGAGTTCTCAATAGAATATTAGTTTTATTAATAACTTTCACATCAGTTAATATATTAACATATCAGACTTTATAATTAGAGTCATTAAATGTGATCACTGATTTGATGTCTAGTGCATATTTGACTTTCTTCTGATATTTTCATAACTCATCTCTCATAGTGTCTCTTTATGCAGATATAGTAAGATATTGAGTGATTTCAGCTGCAGTTATTTGATTCTATAGCATCATCTGTATAAGATTCATAAGATTGCCTGCAGTGTAATAGATAGATTGATTCAGATTATCATTAAAAGTCAGTATTTCAGAGATAAGAAATAGTGAAGAATTTGAAGAGTTGAAATGAACAGATTCTGTAGATAAATATTAACTCTGCTTTTCTTTATTCTGAAGTTTCTCTGTTATCTTATCATTAAATTTCATACTCTGATGAAAACTAATCTCAGTCTTATCTTACAAGTCAGAAGCTTTCTTATAATAAGTGATTATTCTATTAATGAGTTGTCTAGTGAAGTGTGTGATTCTGAGTCTTAAGCTGAACTCTGAAGTAACAGATGTATCACTTATATTAAGATGACTCTGCTTCTTCTAGATATGTAAAAAAAAAAAGAATAAAAAGTGATATTCTTCACAATGAAGAATATACTTTCTTAAAAATATAAAGTATATGAATTTACTGACTGATAGATTCAGAGAAAATGAAATATCTCTAATAAAGAGTAAGAGTCTTTTTAAAAAAAATGAACTATCTGTGTTAAAAAATGTTGATACAACATTCTAAAAAGAAAAATGTGCTATTCAGGCTATAACCTGTAGAATAGTTGAAGGTTGTATTGATAGATCTATCTACAGAAACATAATATAGTGGTGGGTCACGTGATCTAGTGGGATCGCTAACCGCAACGGCCGTAAGGGCCAACATATAGTTACTCTGGTGAGTGGGGGTGTCAGGTCACGTGATCTGGCTTACTAATCCTTCCACCATATAACTTCCCACAAAGCTAGCAACCTTTCAATCACACAAGCTTTACACCTTCCACAAGTTACTTTTTAAAAGCCAAAGAAGCGAAGAAAAGAGAAGAAAGATATCTAGTAACGCCTTTCCTTCTCATTTTGCTTGCAGCAGCTTTTCTTCCAACCACATCTATAGTCAGGCATATAGGAGAGAGAGCCACCGACCACGTGTTAAGGATTCCGGGGATATGATTTGAAAATAAAACATTAAAACATGTAAGATTCATTAAGGGAAAAAGAAAAAAAAAAAAAAAACCCCAAATTTCACGGTGACAATGCACATGCATCTTCTTCATTTTTGCTCTTCATGTCTTAAAAACTCAAAGATGAATACATTTGCGTTTGTTATTGTTTTTCGTCTTGTTCGTCATCATCAGGTATACTGGGTACTGGAAGGGAGAAGAGAGATAAGATTGGAAAAGGCAAGTTTACACGCTGGGCAGAGAAAGAGAGGGCGAAGGGGAAGAGGAAATGAAAAGGGTTGAGGGTGAAAGAAAAAAAGAGGAAGGGGCGGGGGGCTCTTACGCCAGACAAGTAAGTATATTATGAAAGCAAAACCTGAGCCAGACAAAATAACAAAGGGAAATTGAATCAGATGGAATGTCAGCCGCCACTTATATCAACGTGTAAAAGATAACCATTTCGTCCATCACGCAACTGACGTTAGAGAGAAAATATTAGAAAGAATAAGAAGAAATATAATGTGGCCTAGATCAAGGCGGCTTCATCGTGAAGAAAAGACAGGGAAGAAGTGTGGAAAGAAAATACAAAAGAAAGAATAGAAGAAATGGCATATAAGCATCGCTATGCTAAACGTAATAAGTTGAGATAGAAAACAATATCATGAAAAGATGAAGTAATGAGGAAGGTTGTAGAGAAACAGGAAATACAGAAGGGTTGACACAAGTCTATGTCAGTTCTTCAATTTCATTCGACCAAAACCTCGGTCTGCTCTGATCCGCTGCCGTTATCATCATAATCGTCATTCGCAATTGGAATCGGACCAGCTTGGGTTATATGGAGATGGCTCGATGGCTGTGTCGAGATCGGGTTCTGGGCTTGATTATAACTGTTATTGTCATTGTTGTCGGTATGGTTACTGTTACTGCCAGGCGGCGCAGAGGCAGAAGTCTGGGGTGCCGGTTCAGGCGCGGTCATAAAATCATCACCATGACCACTACTGCCAACACCGCCACCGTTGCCAGCATCTTGATTCTGATTCTCACTCTCATTGAGGTTGCGCGTCAGTCCCATAAAGAATTGCCCCGCAAACGACGCGACCTCATTAGCCAGGTTGCGCTCCATGGCTATCTCGATCATTTCTAAGTCGCGTTTCTGCTTTTCCTCGCGCTGCAATCGCTCCTCCTCGATCCGGCGGCAAGTGCCGTCAAGCTCTTTGGCGCGATAGCAGTTGGGGCATAGATAGTTAAGGTGACAGTAGGAACATGTGCAGGGTGGGTTTTGATGTATACAGTCTTGACATACGTGTATTGAGCACGACGTGCATTCCCGTAGCACGCTAGAGCAGCGTTGGCGCTGGTCACCAACTGCACGGTACTGCGGGCAAAAGATCGATTGGCAACCAAGCCACTTTTTGCGGACTTCAGGGGATGCTTCAAAGTAAACGGAGGCGGGGGATGAGGAGCGACTATGGCTTTGTGAGATGGAGGCGGGTGTTTGGACCGTAGAACTATGATGGACGGCGGCTTGATTGTCGGAAAGAGTGCTGGAAGGGCCAGGTTCACTACTCGAGGAAGAGCCGTGCGATAATTGAGTGGAGAGCACATTTATCAGAGCTAGGTTGAAGCGGGGAGATGAAGCAGGATATTCTGCAGCAGGTCGGCCTCTGATTGTGCGAGATGGGTCTGAATCCGTTGCTGGGGGTGTACTTCGAGCCTCCGATATTTTGTCAGCAGTAGGCGATTGGGTGCTTGCAAGATTTGTCTTCTCCATAACAAGATCCCGGTAACCACATATTCGAAGGCGTAAGCCTCGTAGATCATGTTCCATGCACAGAGGCTTGGTACAGCTCTTACAGTGTACCTTCCACTGTGGCCTATCAAAACATTGCTGGCAGAGATTTCGAGGGCATATAGAAGCCTGGTAGTCTGGCGGCCCAAGCAACCAGCGTATCATTTCCGCATGGCCTTCCGGACGATCATGGTCGGGTGGATTTCCATATGCATCCTTAGGGAAAGTCTTGAGCCACTCATTGGTGGAGAGTTCAGGATCTTCCCACCCCTGACCACGTGGGAGAGGTGTTGCTCGGAGCCGGTCGACTTCTCGGTTAGCTACCCCAAGGCTGATCCCACCGCCTCCACTAAATGCAGGCTCAGTACAGCACCAATGAAATTTCAGGTTAGGGTAGGCGAGAGCAGGAGGACCCTGATTGTTGGTATTCGCTGCATTTGGGTCCTGGTCTTCCTGCATAAAACACGGGGACACTGCCGTTCCAGGTGCCCACCATGAGTGTTCAACGACAGCACCTTCCCCCGGTTTTCTTCGAGGATAGTGGCGATCGAATGCGCAGCTAGCACATAGAGTCTTGCGACAGCCAACGCAGTGCATTAAAACGCTACATTGTTCGCATCTCTCCAGAATCTCCTCGTCGCACTCATCACAAGTAATATTCTCTATAAACCGCCTATGGCTTTTCCGTAAATGGGTAGGAACGGTTTTCCCTTCACCATGTTCAGGGCCATCAGCCGTACCCAACGCTTCCCCGAAGCAGCCTGTTTCGTCGTGCTCCCATAGCCGTCCATCGCGTTTCGGGGGTTTATCCCTCTCATTTATTGATCCAATCCAGTTCTTTGATCTCCACAGCCTGTCAAACACGACCCATACCTCCCTCGTCCCTTGCGGTGACCTTGACGAGACGTAACCCCTTCTCCTAAAACAGCGTGCCGCAGGGGTAGTGCACCACGCAGTATCCGTCCAAATCCCCAATTTATGGCACAGCATGACGAAATCATGCGTTGGCTCTGAGTCTGAATCCCGGCGGAGTAGAGACGATGATAAATAAGGGCGTCGTCTATGGTGGCGGCATCGGTATGCGTATAGGCTCTTAAGCGCAAGCCGCTTCACTGGGGAGGGACTTCTACCTCTCTGATTGATTTCTGCATCATATTGAAGCTTGAACATGGTGAGGTACGGAATAATATGGTATTTCAAGGACACGTTCTTACAACCCCGCACAGAAAGGTGTTCAAGAGTATCCCTCCGCATATTCAGCACGGTGGAAGTGAGATTTTGCCCATTCACCAATGTATTATCCAAATCTAAGCTCCTTAAAGTCGGGCTGAATGGTAGGATTACCTGGAGGAGCAACTGATCAAGAGCGTATGGTTGTCGCTGTGTTGACGCACCGTCCGTTCCACCTGATGCTGGCCGCACCTGGGTGCCAGACTGAAAGAGTAGCCGGAAAGAGAGGTATTGCCATGCTGTTGGGTAGGACCTGAGAAGACTTCTAAGAAAACGTGACGTATGGTAGAGTTGGAAAATGGTATCTGTCGGGGCCTGGAGGAGGAAGGATTCGAATATGGGGGTGTGTGTGGAAAAGACTCGTTCAAAAGTAGATAAGGGGCGCTCCGCCAATTCAATCTCCTTGGTCCCGTCAGCAGCAACGCGGTCGGCCAGTATAGACGGCGGTGTAGAGTCTAGCTCTTGGGAATCATCTAGTAGTGACTGGTTTGGAGGAAGTTCGCTGGCAGAAGCCATGGTGACGTGACGGTAGAAGTGAGGGGAGGCTGAACGGAAGCCTGGTGGTTGTGTGGTGGTGTGCAGCAGAACACGGACAGAACCATCATAAGCTGCCAAAGGAAGAGACTCAAATTGGGGATACGGAAATATGGGGATATGGGCTGCAAGACGCGATCAAAAAATGTGCAAACATTTAACAGGTCTGTAACCGGGGTGAACTGAAGCTGAGCACTCAATAACCCGTGTTTGGCAGCAAAGAGAGGTTTCGCCCGAGACCGTTTCCTTTAACGGAATGTAATAGCTGTAGTGTTCTCAGTGCGACGTAAAAGGGACTTCCCGCTGTTCCCTCCACACCATTGATGTAAAGCGTCATTAATTGTGTCGTCGAGATTGCATTATGCGGAATCTCGCCATGCCACGTCAGAATCACGTGACATTGACTTTGGTCCGGCTTTATACATATGATTTAAATCAGTCCTAGTATACGGATATATCTTTCTAATGTCTATTCTCGATTTCTCCCACAGTGTAGCCACGGGCAATCCCGCTACGTCCTTCCACAACCGCCGCACCCTGTTCCCCATCTTCTTCATATCTGATATCAAAATCGCTCCCCAGTCCTTGCCACGTTCTCTGTGAACGAAGAAACTCTGCCCCTGGAGATAACACTCCGTTTATGGTCGCCAAGTCAGCGTTTTGCCGTTTGGCAAGAGCCTTTGATCCTCCAGCCTGTGCGGATGGGCCTGGTGTATTGGAAGAAGTAGGCACTGAAGATGGCTGCATCGGGCGGGTGCTGGACACAGAGATATAACGCCCTGTGCGCAAATCAAACTCTGGAGGAGCCGACTCCTCTTCAGACCCTGCATCAACATCATCGCCATCGTCGTCGGAATTGGCATCGCTAGTCGGGTGGTCCTGGGGGATGTCTTGGCCAGGATTCTGAATACTGTTACTAGCTTTTGTAATGTCCAGAATCGCCTGGTAATCGCTCTGCCATTCGCCCGTCCACACGCGATCCATATCGCTCTTCAATGCAAGCTCCAACTCAAACGGTGTGATCACAGGTTTCCAGAAGTTGCTGCTATCCACAAGTGAGCTTTCCCAGCATCCGATCACAACCCAACCGCCTATTTCACTGAAATTCGCTACCTTGGCTGCATTCAGCTTGCCGACAACGAACATGTAGCTCTTCTTACCAGCTGCGGCAATCTGGGCCTTGACATGCTCCACTATATGAAGATAGTTTTTGACGCTCAACGTATTTATCAGGACTCCAAAGATGGGAACCGTGCTGAGTGAAGTTAGGATGGCGTATCTACGCCGCAGCGTGATGGCTGTGGAGGCGAGGAGTGGTTTTCTAGTGCCTGTGACGTGTTGCCCTGATTCCTCATCTGTTGAATAAATGTGAATAGTAGCAACTCGAGACGAAAGCGTGAGGAGAAGCGCAGTCGGTGGGTTAGAGATGTGAAACAGTTGCCATTCCCTTAGCGACTCGGGCTTGTCACTAACGGAGCCGGGCACGGTTCGGTTCGGGATCGGGGACGAGGGATTATGAACAACAGATGTAGCAAATAAGTTTGTATATCCTTCCTGCTCCGCTAGTGTCGATGTTATTTTCTCAACATAGTCCGCAAATGTGACATCTGCCGCAATGACCACCTTCTCTTCCCGATTCGGATATGTCTCCTTGAACGCTTCAATTAATGGAGCAGCATCAAGCTCCCTACGTGTGAAGATGTAGATGACGGGTAATCTTGCAGTTGGCGATAGACATGCTCGCCCATAATGAACAACTACATCCGCATTTATGTGTTCAGCTGCAACCTCATCCACACAGCAAGTTCCGTAGGAGGTGTCCGCAAGAATGTAGAGGCGAGGATGATCCGGTGTCTGCGGACCGCTAATCTTTAGCGAGTTAACCACCGAGTTCGTCACGTCATCCACATCGCCCTTTTGTGTTCCATTCGCAGTATAATCAGTTGCAAGCTCCCCGGTTGCACTATTTGCCTCATCTCTTACCCCAGAAGAAGAGGTGCTATCGAGGTTTGCGAGGTCGCGGCTTAAAAGCTGAAATACCCGCGGCGCATCCGGGAGCATATCATCTGGGAACTGCAGGGCTATTCGTTTCCATTTTCCTTGTCTTATTTCCTTCAGTGTGCGGTCGATATCATATTTAACGCGAAGCTCGTCGTCGGTGATTCTCCTGTTAACGCGGGGTGCGGGGTTCTTATAAGCCTCGAAAATATGTGTTTCCGGAGTGGAAAGAATTGGGGCTGCTTCTAGGCCAGTCGCCATGACCGATGTAATCTTAGGCCTAAGATAATAGGCGCTTTGTAGAGGGAGAATATATTGTGGGCTGTATATGTCAATTTCTGGATTCTCAGATGTTAGAGGGCGCTCTTTTTTTTGCCTGGTGGAATGACTAAAGATGGTTTTTTCGAGGCCTTATCTTATCTGATTAGATCCTCCGCAATCGCCCCCAAAGAGCCAGGAACGTCGTCCGATGAAAAATAAATCTCCCGCCGTGAACCAGCGTATTTATTATTAGTAAGTTGGTTTTAAATCACAGGCGCGTTTACTGGAAGCAAGGTTTGCCAGGTATACGACAGTTAGACAACAGCGGGCAAAAAATCACCCTGCTCCAGTTATTCAAGTGTCTGTTCTGAATGGAACCGGAAATCTATGTAATAATAGCAAAAAGAAACTCTAGAGCGCTCACTAGTAACAAGAGCATAAAAATGTCCAAAAAATTCAAAAAAAGCATCCCGCCACTTATTTCGTCCATGTATTACCACAAATTCGTCCGCTGGTTTTAAGTTGTTGGGAAACAACAACTGGGAAAGCCTGGGTATCAAACACGGTCGTGGAAAAATTCGACAAGCTCAATCAAGTCCTTTAAATGCAATGACATGTGGTCCACATATTTTTTCTTTGCCTTTGCCCTTCTTTCTCTTCTTGCGCTTTTTCTGCCCCTGCTTGTGCCCATTGTCACTGTCGTCATCGCTATTATCATCACTACCCACTATGAACCGTTTCCCAGATCGATGTTGATCCTCTTGTTCCTCTCCCTCACTTTCGTCGTCCCCTTCACCTTCTACGGCCTCATGCCAGACCTTAACAATCGATCCACCACCACTAATCATTCGTCCTCCGACATCGAATCCCAAGCCTGCAACTCCCTCCAACTCATCGTGTACAACCTTCGAGATGACCTTATTGATTCCAAACTGAACAAATTGGACAGCCCCATCTGATTGGCCAACAGCAACGACTTTGCCTGCTCCAAGACTATCGGGAAGTAATGATAATACCTCGAGAGATTCGCCTCCATCAGGTTGCCGATCCACAACAATTCTCTCATCCTGGTCATCCCAAGCCCCCTTCTCCCACAAAGTCAATACCCCACTTGCTCCCCCAACAACAAGTTTTTCTCCTTTACTCGAGCCACCCGCTTTCAACCCAGAAACGTAGACCGAGCTGATTAGTTCCTCTTCTTGATCCTCACTGCGAACCAAAACTCCTCTGCGCAAGTCCGTCACCGCTATGGTCGTGCCACCAGTCGTGACCCATTGTTTGCTAAACCCCGAAGTGCTTGCCTCAGATGGGGGAAGTGGTGTAAGCGAAGAGACATAATCGTCGTGTGGGTGGTGAGTTTGCTGCGCTTTTTGAGAAATCGAAGAGGGAGGTACACGAAGGTCGAAAAGATGGAGCGCACCAGAGTCTGTTGAAAGAATAAGTGTCTCTGGGGAAAGTGCATGAATCACAGTGGGAGGGTCAATGCGGGATTGGGTCCTGCCAGGAGAATATATGTTAGCTCCAAGCTCTAAGGAAATTGTAAAAAGAGAATATATGTCGGAAAAGCCAATGAGAGCCGTAGGGTAAACGGGCGCAAGCACATACCCTTCCCCCAGTCGTGGAACCGCAATCTTCAAATTTACTACGCCAGTCTCTGCTTTTGCAGCTTTAACCCAACCATCTGCGCCCGCTGAATAAAGTGTCTCGCCATCAATCCCAAACCCTAAGCACCGACAACTGGCTTTATGTCGTCTTGTTCTCCAAGCTGTGTCGATGTGTCCAAAGCCATTTTTCAACCCAGTCGAGCCGTCATTTGTTGGAGGAATGCGAAATGTTTGAACATGACCCGATGAAAGACCAACTGCAAAAAGAGGCTCGGTGGGATGTATTGCCTGCGCAAACAGGTCGCTGGAGAGAGGGAGGCTGCACACGTTGTCGAACATGGCTTCTTTCTTTTCTGGTGAAGCTTTGGCTAGTTCGCTAGCCGTGGGAAAGTTCAGGGTTGCCGGAGGAGAGTTGCTTGGGGTGGAAGTAGAAGGGAGGTGGATGGGAGGTAGAGAGAAATTTAAAAAAGAGTTCTAGTGCGCAATTTATACACACCTAAGCTGAGCAGAGAATTGAGGCCATTGTGAATTAGTGTTTGTCTGGGGTGCTTGTTGTCGTGCTACTGTTGCAAGCTCTGAATGTACTCTACTATGTAGAAGAACTAAAGCTCCGCCACGGGTGATTGTCCGCATTGTCCGCTGGCTCCGGGCCGGGAGTTAATCCGCTCTCAACTGCCTCTCCCGCCAAACCACTCCATAATTGGCCAGAAGTTATACTGAACTGACTGAACTGGGCAGTCTTTTTTTGAAGATAAGTAAGCAACCTTCTACTCCGTAACTACTGTGTAGTGTGTTGGAGAGAATCCTACAAGCTGTGTCTGGCTTATGAGGGGTACTTAAGTAGCATCTTCCTGTTCGCGTCGTTTCCAGACTTCTCCAGCCACATTCCCGTGTAATGTGCAATTAATGAAACCCCCGTTGCTATTTACTGCGTACGGATTATGTTAGGTGCCATCTGCAGGATGCATTGTCATGATGAATCATGGTGATAATGTCGGCGACAAGCCGCCAGAGATGTCGCAGGCGCCGGATGTTGACTTGACACAAGCTTGCGGGTTTTGATCAGCCAATACCGCCGGTGGGCCGGTGTTGCTGGCCAGTGCCGAGCGCCAACCGGACACGATTCCCAGCTAAATCGATTCAATAGATCCATCAGCATGCAGAGAGATCGTCCGAGCTGGGCGCCACCCTGCACAATATTATCACTTCATCCCCATCCTGATTCGATCAGCGGCATATCCAAATATTGGGTGTTGCGCTACGATTGGGCTGTCATCGATCCAGGAAGCTGCATTGTCCAACATGAGCCCGCGATTTGTTCCCAATGCAGGTTCGTTTTTTTGGCTCGCTATCTGCTGGGTAAAGCGTGCGAGGATAACAGCGTCGCCAGCCATTTTTAAAACTTCGTTTTCGGCGCCCGTTTCTATTCCGTTTTCTTTAAATTCAATCACATCTCTCTTGCTTGGGGTGTTCAATTTTGGCGTATATATACATTCGAGACCTTGCCTTCGCTGGCCCTGGAATCACCACAGCGGTATGCCTTTAAGCGTTTTGACCTCCAACTAAAGATGACGACTCCCATCCCTGGACCCCCAGGTGTCCCTCTTTTGGGAAACATATTCGACATCAACCCGAAGGATACATGGGGTTCGTTAAAGTCTCTCGCGGACAAATACGGTATGTCAAGGGATATCTCTCGCTAGCCTACAACGGTAAGGGAGTTCTGATTATAGAGTAGGAGAGATTTACAAGGTCAATGCCCTCGGTCACCAAATCGTTTTCATTGGCAGCGCCGCTCTCCTCGAAGAAATATGTGACGAAACACGATTCCGCAAATGCGTCACTGGCCCCATCGTTGAGATCCGTCGAGCAGTGCATGACTCTCTTTTCACCGCCTACCACCATGAGCAGAGCTGGGACGTAGCGCACCGGATCATGGCGCCTCTAGTAACTTCATCCGCCGCGGAAGCTATGTTTGCTCAAATGAACGAATGCGCCGCAGCTCTTGTTTCCAGATGGACCTCAGATCCAGGCCAACGTATCGATGTGACGAGTGACTTGCAGCGTTCAGATCTTCAAGCGATCCTAGCCTGCTATTTTAATCAGTCTGCCAATTACTTCGGGGGTCCTGAACCAGCTATGATTGGAGCAATGCAAAATTCTACCCTCGAAGCAATGAAACGGCCAAACCGCCCCAAACTTCTAAATCGCCTTTTGTATCAACGTAAATTCGACAAAGACATCAAAACCATGCGCAACTTTGCAGCCGAAATTATCACAACCCAGAAGTCTGAATCAACTGCAAGGAAAGATATGCTCAACGCCCTCCTCAACAACCCTGACCCACAAACGGGTGAGAAGTTGAGCGAAGAAAGGGTAATTGATGAAATAATCAACATCTACATAGGTTCCGCCACCGCCCCCTGCTTGGTCGCATTCGCTGTGTACTACCTGCTCAAAAATCCAGAAGAAATCGCCAAAGCCCGGGGCGAGATCGATTCTATTCTCGGTGCTAACGGCGAAATTACCTCGTCCAATTTGTCCAACTTCTCATACTGCGAAGCAATTCTTCGAGAAGCGTTCCGCCTATCTGCCGTCGCTCCCGCCTTTAACATCGAACCCATCCCCTCCGATGAACCAGGAGAAGTTCAACTTGCAGGCGGCAAGTATCAGATCTCACGAACGCAGCCTATGATCGCTGTTCTAGCAGCCGTCAACCGCGACCCTGCTGTATTTAACGAACCAGAAGCTTTTAAACCGGAACGAATGCTCGGAGAAGCGTATGATAAGTTGCCATCTGGTGTAAAGAAGGGATTCGGGAACGGGAAGCGTCGATGCTTTGGACATGTTCCTGCGTGGCAGTGGTGTCTGATTACCTTGATAAGCATACTGCGGAAGGTTGATTTGACCCTCGCGAATAAGGATTACAAATTGATAGCAAATGGGGCATTCTGCGTTCGACCCCTGGAGTTCTTTGCCTTGGCTGGGCCTAGGGAGCGTTAATTATATTGATCGAGAGGTGGGATTTCTGGGATCTATTGAAAATCTTCAAGGGTCGTTTTGGGGGGTGGGGGCTGTTTATACTGCTCGTACCATTCAGTTACTTACATATGTCTATCGCTAATATATAATGTCTACAAGAAGTCCAGGATTTCTGTCTATGTGACGTCGAAACTCCGGTTTCAATGGATCTTGTAGGTCCCGCCGCGAAATATCTAGTTGTCAAGTGCCGCTCCCAAGCTTTTGGGTCCCCTACCCGGGGAGCCTGAATGGGGAAATATGTAGAATATATGTATGCTTTCTCCGTGATCCGCATATATGCTCATTGTCTGCGTACGAGAGCAGATCGTAAGCTGCGACCCCTGGTTCTGGCTGAGAATAAAAGTTGTATTCTAGGGCTCTGGATATCACCTGATCGAGCCCCTGAGTCTCCAAAGCTGATTCTTGATCCTGTCCAGACAGCGTCATATATCTTTCATCTCCACTACGCTTCCGATGAAAATTAGATACACCAAATAATCGATGTGCTTCATGCTTTTTCCCAGTATGACAAGGTTTTGTGGGAGATCGATATTCGCCACAGCAATGCAGTCGATCCATGCACAAGAAGAGCCCCTATGGCAGCCAGCAAGACGTTTCCCAGTGGGAACCATTAGCCTACCAGACTATTTACGTTTTGAAAAGCCCTACCAGGGTGCCATGGCCAGTTAGGAAAATGTTTCTGCCTATGGTACTTAGAGTGTCGTTGATGCTTCCAGGTTGCCAGTCGAAATACTCTACATACGCTGTCCGGTACATGCACATCGCAACATTATTTCGAAATCAACTTGAAATCTTCAGTCTTTGAAGATAGGGCAAGTTCCACACAGGTCGTCTCTGTTTAAATATCTGGTCTTTGATTGTGGGCTATGGTCATTAGCATATAGCAGTCTCTCACCATTTAACGTATGTACAACCTTCAGTCTGGCTGTTTCTGACCGTTGTGGATCGTCACACCTCTTTGAATCACGATGGCTGGCGCTTGGGTGTGAACAATACAGTTTTGGCCATTGTCGCGTTGCCAGTCCATACTGAATGGCAATACTCTAACATTTCTTCTGTCATATCATTATTTACCGCTACCCCCTAGTTTGGTTCTGAATGTTCCGTCTTTTCTGTTCTTTTTCTTTTCTCGGCGTTCGTTCTTCTCATCCTTCTCCTCTTCCAATTGACACATGTCTAAGCTACCCCAGGGCCGTTTTCAGGGGGCATTCCATGTCGGGGACCCCATTCTCATTCAGAGAGCTTCTGACGGGAAGTACTTCAGGCTTTTCACAGGGAATAAAATTGCAATTGCTTCAGGGTCGGCCGTATCTGGATTATGTGTAGCCTAGGGTCAGTGATACCTGGGGGGGATCGTCCATTGATCCCCCCAGATCGTAATGATTTATCGGTAAGTTCTGGATGTGATGGAGACGTATATTTCTATACATTGATTGCACTCTGCTCTTGAACTGTATTCACGTCTTGCTTCTCCAGTCGCGTATATGGTTTCATTCTTATCTCATCACAGGCACCACATATCTAAATCTATCCTACTCAGTGCCAACGCCCGGTTCGCGACAATCAGCCCTCGGCCTAGCTATGTCAGGGGACATGGAGTCCGGCACCTGGTCGGATTACGGGTCTAGCGGCCTACTCGCAGATAGTACGATGATGCCCTACACTGACATTGACTCATGCCTCCTCCAAGACGGAGAGATCAGCTATCTTATTTCGGCTCGTACTGGCATGAGATAACTGTAGATGACCTCAAACGCAACGGCCGTATTCGGCAATCCGCCCAATATCGCTACAAATCGGACAAATTTCGATTGAAGTTGGATATCTCTTCAAATATAAGGGCTTTTGTTGCCTATTTAAATCAGACGGGATTCGTTGCTAGCTATTGCCTCAGGGACACGACTACTTTTCATCACTCACTGTGTGTCTTTGACAATTCGCGAAACATCCTGCTCAGATGAGCCCTCATTTTATATTCTTTATTTCTTAAAACTGATGCCACGAATTGAGCATCATAGAGATAAAGAAGCTTCGAACAGCCCAGAACTTTTTCAGCGAGGCAGGCTGTGAAATTATCTCGAATATATACTATACAAAAGTATCTAATTACCTGAATGAACTGGGGACAAATCCACTTGTAATATACACTTCTCATTTGATTTTATACCAAACCCATTCTTCTGCAATGCTGGCGACTATATTCCCGCATGCGTTTCTCTAATACTTCAAAACCATTTAAATCTCACCACTTAAAAATAAAAATAAAAACACTCCCCTAAAATTGCCCAAATGAAACCGCTACCACATAAACCTCTGTACTAACCCATGCTCCTGCGGCCACTCAAATCCCCTGTACAGAAACATATACCCGGTAACCGCATTGATCATAATGTACCATGTAGTCTCTAAAGCTAATGGAAGATAGAACAGTAATCTATCACAACTCTTGGCATTTACCGATCTATGTGACGACCCATCTATTGACGTTGATGGCACTCGAACGTGAAGACGCCAGATCACCCACGGTATGAGGAAATAGCGCGGTTCAACGAGGGGAGCGGTGATGAGGGAAAGGGAAGTGGCTATCAACCAGATAAGGACGAAACTAACACGTACAGGGGAGTTTCTCATCGGCTCTATTCCTGCGGTGTCTGAAATTGGCTTTATCGTCTTGGTTGGTTGAGTTTCTTGGAGCGGCCTTGTTGGTATTGTTGTTGCTGCTGCTGTATATGCTGCTGATGGTCGAAGGGAGGTAGCACCGAAAGTTGCGAGGACAGCCCAGCCACACACGAAGTATATCAGTGTAGCAAGATATTTTATCACCGGATGTCGAAGTAGGATGCGGAAGATGTAAAAGACGTAATGTCGGTTATCCGCCAGGGTGAACGGGTGGACAATTGTGTTTAGGTGGACGGCTACGAGCATGAGTGGGAGAAATATTGCGGCGGTTTTTACACTGGGAAGGATTTTTTTGGTGCGGTGTTGTAGAATCGTTGTCACAAAGGGAATGAGGAAGATTGGCCAGGAGAAAAATATGAAGTAGGGCCATATGTAAAGCATTTGCGGGAGATGTAAGCCTGCTGTGTGGAATTCCTTGTGGCCTACAGGAGTAATAATTAGCATGAGAACAAAAAAGCTATTTGGATTGAATGTTAAATTTATAGGCCTACCTAAAACTACACCTCCGTTCCATAGGACAAATAGCTCAAATGCTCCAAGGAACACAAGGTAAGGAAGCAGCGCCTTGATTATTATGATAATATGCGCTAGTGTGGAAACTCCTAAAGAAACCAAGGTCTTCAAATAATCTACCAGAGGAAGAAAAGTTAGTGAAGGGGATCAGACCAATTGAGCTAGGTTTGAGGACTACTACCTTCAAATGACGCCTCGATGACTGGCGGGTCATATAGTTGATGAAGCTCCCAGCTACCTTGCACAATTCTTACAACTCCAGTTGACTGGCAATCAGATGTCGCCCTATGTAATGTTTCAACAACATGCAGTCCACCGAGGAAAACGGCCACCCAAAATATATTGGTCTGTCGGAACATAAGAGCAAGAAGACCAAATATCAAGAAACGAATGTTTCTCCCCAACAGAGTATTAACCTCCTCGTCGGGCCTCAGCTGAGTATCACGTCCACGGTTTCGACTGAGGTCGCAAATATACACTTCCACCACAATTAGAAGCGCAGCGAGGTCCGTGTAGTAGAGTCCGGAAAAAAAGAAGAGCGGAGGGAAAAGACAAATATTCAGCACCATCAGATTTCTCTCCCAGCGCTCCCTGCACTCCATCGTAGGGGAATCGCTTTTCTTCAGAGCGTCTGAAAGTTCCCCCTTTCGTATCCATTTAAGGAGTGCCCGAAGCCTCAGTTGAAGTATGTTGAACAAGATGATGCTATTTCCGAGGCGGAAAAATGAAGCACCAGGATGCGCTGGGCGTAATCGCACAACAAACAAGATAGCCCCAATTGCGTATGAACATAGATATATTCCTGGCGGCGTAGTAATTTTGGGGTCCCATTGCCGCCATCGATGCGCCCAGTACGCTTGCGCTTGTCTAACATGGAATACCTCGTCCAAGTAGGGATCTGGTAGCTCCGAGTTGATCTTGCGCTGCCAGATTATGAGCAGGGCGGATGCGAACAACAATGTTGATAATACGGGCAGGGCTTCCCGCCTACTCTGAGCCATTCTAGGTATTGATTTCTGGTTTGACTCCATATTTCAATTGTAAGAAGCGCATTTGTTCCCAATCTGTAGTTGGTGGGCTTCAGTATTGCAAACCGGAACTCAGACAGTAAGTATGTATCATTGTTAAACCGCAGCGATCATGCAATGGCATAGGTAAGTAAAATGCACAAGATAGAATAATTGATCAAACAGAATATAACAATGCAAGGTTCTATATCATTACCCTCTATTTTGCATAGCTCATTGATTTGTGGGGGAGCTTGGAGGTTGGATTGTTGTCAACTTGGAACATTGGGATATCACATGATGCGTTCATGGTGGTTTATTTATTTAAACCTTGCCGTCACTTGTACATATACTTTTGGACGTGACAAAGACAACAAGGGAACAGAGCACACACCCACAAACTATAAGGCTTTAATATTCTGAAAAAGGCCCAGCCATGGCGTTCCCTCTACCGCGAGGCATTACTCCTCCAGAAATTGCGTTCTTATGTGAAATGGAAATGGTTACTGTCATTCCGCGGCAGCGACTAGAAAAGCTTGAATTGCTTGGAGTGAGTCTTGACCCTATCTAGAAAAGAAAACCCACAGGTAAAGCCTACAACCCGCCCTACGGGGCTCTAAAAACTACATTCGAAAGGCCAATTCCTCCATGCAGCTAATTTTGGCTCCTGAGAATTTAATATTTCTCAATGACTTCCAAAAAAAAATCATGGGCTAACAATTTTGCTTCAACCTATCTAAAGGGACTCGTACCCCCCCTTCTACCACCACGACGAACGAACCTCCCGCTCTGGTTAGCTCTCCTCCTCAAGCGACAACGGCGCGCAAACATCCTCCCTCCCCTATGGCTAAATCCCGAAGCACTCTCTCTCATTCTCGAAGTAGAGACCGACCGCGACTCCCTCGGGGACGCGTTCTCCCCGCCCCCACCTCTCACACCCAACAACCCCAAAGACAGAGATAATATAACGGGGAACCGAAGTAATGGCCCTCCGGCACCTCAATATACACTAGACGGGCAACCATATTACCCGACTCCACCATTCCTACTACAGAATAACGCAGACGATATGACGACTACCTCCTCCATGACAAGCCCTTCTTTACCATATCACTGGTTGGAGCTTGCGACAATGCTGTTAGACGTCGCGAGCGATGACTTAGTTGAAGCGGACCAAATACGCCGGTTAATAAGAGATTTGAGGGAGGTACGGCTAGCGAAAATGAGGATTCAAGTCGAAGGGCTGGACGCAACTGCTGTAGGTGGTGGGGATGGATTGCCACTAACTGGCGTGGGCGCTATGGAAATTGGTGAGAGTAGGGGGTTTATGTCTGGTGTGGCGGAGACGTTTAGGTATGTGCCCATTGCATGCAATTTGGAGAACTTGAATGTGGAAAACGTTCAGAGCGATTATATTTCTCTTTTAAATGCTATGCCAGTATTAACGCTAAATTTTGAAATGTGTTTTTCTCTTGTTCCAGGCAAATCGGAGCTTCGAAAGAAGAAGCTGCGCGAGAACGGGAAGCCGAAGAAGCTGCAAATACACAGTACGATGAAACGAATGATGATTATGATGACATGGAATTATAAAGAGGTTGGTGTCTCAGGTCCAACCGGTCTCAACTTACGAACGGAGGTAATATGTCAAGGGCCAAAAAGGGCTCAATTAATACATATTTTTGAATCCTCTATGCACCGCTAGGACTATACAAAGTGATCGGGAAATAAAAAAACACGCACGGTTTGAGGCAGTCCTTTTCCCACAGGAGAGGAAAAGGAATGAGGACCTGTTACTCGCGGAAATAGATAGTAGCGGCGGATGATGTCACGCCTCCAGCGTTTACCATCTACATCACCACTGTACTCCTTGGCAAAAAATCTATTAGGAGACGCCAAACCAGAGCATTACCTCCACGGATAAGACTGGGTATGCGGTTCAGTTCGACGAGAGTCCCGTTCGAACAGTTAGGTTCGACAAAAGAGTCCTAGGTATTATTGGTCTGGCACTTTGTCTTTCTCCATCAATCTTCTTCTCGCAGCAAGAATCATCTCATCCCTCCTCTTCTGCAAAAGACGCTGTCTCTCAGTTCGGTTTTGTGACCATGCGCTTTCTTGATGTATTATCGTCCCAGAACTCGTGCTCGTCACCGTCTGCAGCGATTCCGATTTAATTTTATCGGCGAGGTTATATCGAGATATAAGGTCTTGTGCTTGTTGTTTAGGTGTGGGTCGAGAGGTTGAATTGGCCTGCGTAGCAGGCGCTGAGGGAGCCGGTAGCGGGGGCTGGAAGGACGGTGGAGGCTAGAAGAAAGGACGTGAGAGAATTGAACACATCAGCCACATTATTCTTGCAATAGTTATACCAGGCCTTCCACCTTGAATCTCGATAAACGCTATCCAAGGCCAATAAGTAAGGCTCTTGAAAAACCGCATTTATCAAAATCCCAAGGCGGTGAGACATGTAGATACCAAACCGAAGAGACTATTGGCTTCCAACTCACTGCATCTAGACCCCGACCGGACAACACCCTTTCGGTCGTTGCAGCCATACTACCGCCATTCTGCTGCAGGTCCCACATGATATCCCTCCTATCTAATTGAGGGAACATTTGCGAAAGCTGTTCTACATGGGCGGGATCAACTCGCCTTCCGCCACCGCGACGGTGCGCAGCATCGCTCGATGATAGAGCACCATTCCGCCCAAAGAACCATCGGATTACGAAGAAGGAGAAGACGGCTAGCGTGAGGAGGGAGGGGATGTTAAGGGATGGTTCTGCGTCGGCCATGTATGGGGGATTTGGGTATGACGGGACGGACCGTGTTCGGCAGTTGAAGGATGTCTTCGGTTCCCAACAGAAGAACGAGATGTGTGGGGTTCAGGGTAGGACAGAGGCAGGGGCCGTGTAGTTGCTTATAATTGTAAGATTCAAGAATTAATCTGCAGGTGAAATCAACTGTCAAAAACGCTGAGCAGCGCAGAGAAACAGTGGACGATGATACTTCGGTAGGGATGAGATTGGCAATTGCGCTTATCGAGGGGAGGGGACAAAGGGCTGGGCGTCAGAAGGCGGCAATTATACTGTATTATTGGTTTATATTAACGCGCGGTTAGGTCATGTGATATAAACTTCGACATGTCTCTTATTGCGAAACGCTTGGAATATAAGATCGAAATCGGGAAACAAACCAACTCATACTCTCCAGATTAATATTGCCTTTACAACTTATGGTATGCGCAAATCGCAGCATCTCGACCCGATGGAATTCATTTCGAATACCTGTCAGAGCGACTGGCCACAAAACCAATGGAGTAAGTGGAAAACAATCTCTCCACGGTCAAGAATACTTGAAGGAAATACTTTAACCTAACAACTATTTTGCAGCAATCTTAGGGAACAAATATGTTAATGCATAGACCATGAAATAGAGATGTAGTGAGGTGGGGCATCATGATCACCCAGCCTTACACATCATACTAATGCATGATGGAGAGATGACAAAACTATCTAGTCTAAACCCGTGTCTTCAAAGGTGGGCTGCAGTGGCAACTTGCCCCAGCAAGTATATATACCTTGGAATATGGGACATATAAATATACCACAGCCCTTCTCTGTGGAGTTCGGAGACTTATCGGTCCATCGCTCCAAGCGCGGCAGAAGTATCCGCAACCCAAATTAAGGGTTCAGCTTCGGCATATTTTTGATAAGTTCACGGAGAACAAAAAGACCCCAAAATTTCAGAACTCAGCTCGCATATGCTCCCTTGGAGATATCATTCGAGAGCAACGCGCAGGGATTACATTGTAATTATTATTATCGGGCTTTGGCGCATCCCTTCTCATTGACACTGGAGGTGTTTAAAAATAGTCTTTGGCGATTGTTAAGGAACGCCTTTGACGAGGGGCTTCCTCGGCTGAGATGTCGATTGATTCTCACATACTTTGAACGTACGCTACCTGTGCTGAGCCAAAAGCACCGAGAAAGCCGGCTATAAAGAGAGCCCTTTCCAGGGCTGAAGAATTGGGGAAACATGAAAGAAAGGTTGCCACGGCCATCAAAGTTCCCATTCATTCGATATCTTTCTCCCGTTGACCAACTTATACTTGATATAACCCAGCATTGAAAATGACAGAAAACACTTCCTCCTTCAAGAATGAAGCATATACTTTTCCGCAGGGGAAGGCGGAAATCAGCAGGTTCATTACAACTTATCCTAAGTGTTTACACTTCCCAGCTAAACAAATACATGATAGGTTAATGAACTAGCACCCACTCTTTGTTCGATGGGCTGGGGGATTAATCCAAGCAGGCGTCCCTAAGGACGATATTAAACGAGTTGCAGATGTCGCAACCGGAACAGGGTAAACGACTCTCTTCCTTTAGCTATTTTCGGTCATGTATTAAGATAAAACAATCGGAGGCTGATGATGCGCACATATGTTAGGGCTTGGTTGATTGATGTCACGAATGAATTAAACAACCCCACAAATGTTTATCAAGGATTTGATATAACGGCTGCATCATTCCCCTCAGACACCCCGAACGGGATTGGAAGCTTTAGTTTTTCCCAACACAAAGCGATAGAGCGTTTTCCTGCTGAGTTTCATGCCAAATTTGACCTGATAAACGTCCGCTTGGTTATACAAGCTTTCAAGGCTGCCGATGTGCCAAAAGTGATATCAAACTTGGTGGAAATGCTCCGTATGCCATGTTCCACTAGCCCCCAAAACATAATTTCTTCGTGACAGAAGCGCAATGTCTCTAGTGTGTAAATTTCCTGCCAAAATGGCATTATTTTCCCTTTCAGGGCCGGGCGGTTTCCTTCAGTGGGGAGATCTCTCATGGATCGACACCAAAGTCGAACCACCCCATGAGGACCTCGAAGTAGCCCTGGAGCTCAGTCGTTAGCATATGAGGTTTCATGGTGTAGCTGAAAAGTACGTATAAATGCTGAAGCAATTTCATCCCCTTTCTTTCTTTCCCTCCACCAAACCATTGAAATAAGACAGAAAAATAAAAACCCAGCCTTCCTACCCTCATCGATTCCACCATGAGAGAACTGGGGATGCAAGATGTACCCCTCGTAAAAAATCGACACGTGAGGCTGTCCCTAATGCTGAAGAAGAGGAGAGCGCGAGCAAGCCAGCCCTTCTAGCTATGCTCCCGAAGGAAGGTCTCGGAGACGCAGATGCTGTCAGAGAATAAGCCTGTCAACACTGCGGAGATCGATGCAAGACGGGTCGAGTTAGCTGGTCGTTTCGAGCAGGCTTTTGCGAGCGGCTATACTTTGACATGGTATTTCTGCCTGATTGTGGGGAATAAACCCCTGGCATGAGTGAGAGGGATTCATGTAACATGATTGCTTATTTTCTCCCTTTCGAGTATTTATAATTAGCAGAGAGTCAACGAAATCTAAGTAAATTGGATTAAAGCCCCTTTTTGTGCAGGGAATGAGATAAGTCTGGAGCTGCTTACTTGTGGTTTCTATCAAGACAGCGCGCTGCGCGAGTAAACAAAAAACGATGAAGAATAAGAAATTCATCACTGTATAAGAGATATACACATGGCAAGGAAGAAAAGCGGAACAGAACCAAGGACCGTAATATATCACAAAGACAAAATGCGATTATACTTTATTCACAATCATATCCCATCCCTACAAGTGATTAACAATAAGAATAAAACACTCCGTCCCCATTCTCAAGGTGTCCCCCGGCCTCCGCTCACAAAACGCCAAAACCCATGATTGCCACTGACAACAAAATCCAAAAACAAACAAAAAAGAACCAGAGATAAAGGAAATCATCGCTTCAAACAGTACCCAAAATAAATACCGAATATATGCCAGGAGAAAAAAATCGGAAATGAAAAATGTCAGCACACCAAGCCCAACCAACACCGCAGTTTGCTGGGTCACTTTAAATCTGCCGGTGTCAGCGCCTGAACAACACTAGTACCCTCACTGAACCTCGTTCTAAAGATTCGATTTGCATTCTGGAACATGCCATCCTTCAAGCTGACCACGATAAACTGAGAACCCTTGAACCGCGTCTTGATCAAGCGGCCAATATTTTGCGTATGCGACAAGTCCAATGCAGCGTCGACTTCGTCGAGGATGTACATGGGTGCAGGTTTGAATTGGAGAAGAGCCATGATAAGAGAGAGCGCGATAAGAGACCTATAAGAAACATGGGTGAAGTTTTGATTAGTTGGCTTGCCCGGTGGACAGAAACGATGGAAATCTGAGATAGTCTAGTAAGAAGCGCAGCAGAGAGAAACACTACATACCGTTGCCCACCGCTTAATTCAGTCAAGCTCTGCTTCCACACTTTCCCCAAGCTAACCTTAACCTCCAGCCCATCACTTATTTCCTTGCCCTCAGGGGGGTCCAGCTTAGCAAAGCTACCAGGAAGCAGCTCGGCGAATATCTGGCCAAAGTCACCATTAACCTTGGACCAAGTCTTCTGCAACGCCTCTTTCTTATACTCATCAAGGCTGATGATGGTTTCCTCGATCTTCTTTTTGTCCCGAATGACAGTCTTCATCATGTTTTTCAACGCGACTTCTTTTTTCTCAACACTATCGATCATATTCATGACCTTGGGATTGATCTTCTTCCTCATCCCTTGGAATCTCTCTGTTAGGTTGCGAAGGGACGCCTTGCATTCAGCAATGTTTTGGCCCTTGAAATCGTATGGTGTGCCGGAACGTCCAAAGCTGTCCTTTTCCTCCGCGATCCACTCGTGTTCCCTTTCCATACTGGCTACCAGCTGTGCGGCATTTTGCTGATCCTTCTGGAACTTCTCAAGTTGGTGGCCTAGCTTTTGTAATTCAAGGCCCTCTTCCGTGATTCGTGCTGCCTTGGATCTGGATGCCTCCTCTAAATCTCGAAGCTCGTCGTCAAACCCTGTAAGCTTGGCCTGTTCATCCTCTAGTTGGGCTTGAGCAAGATCGTGTGCTTTCTGAACGCGATGTCAGTGGGAAGGTCCTATTTATAGAAATATTTTACGAATGTCGGGGTTCTCGGAACTAACCTTGCATTTTGCTTGCTCCCGTTTCAAAGCCTCAACTTCCTCCTTTTGAGCATTTATTGTTTGGTCGACCTCAGCACGCTGCTCTTCCGCTGTAGTTAGGTCACTTCCAGCTTGTTCGGAATCAAGTCGCGAGGCCTGAAGTTCTTTCTGCAATGTCTTGACTGAAATTGAGTTTTTGCTAAGTCCCTTCTTGAGCGAATCCAGTGAAGATTGCAATTCTGCCAGCTTGTTATCCTTGTTGCTGCTAAATTCTCTCATATCCTTTTCAATCCGCCTAATATCGCTGCTGGCTTCCGCGTGCCGCTTCCTAGCATCCTCAATGTCCTTCTCAAGCTGTTCGATATTTGCCTTCATCTCTTCAACAGCCTGGATAATCTATCATGTGTTAGCAACTTGCAGTCAGCTTTCAAGGAAAAACGGGTAAACCTTACAGAAGAAGATGAATTTCCGTTTATCTGCTCTTCGGTCAATTTAATCTCATGCATCTTAAGATCGAACTCTTGTTTAGTAGCTCTGGCAAGATCCATCTTTTTCTTCTCCTTCGCCATAGTTTCTTGTAGTTGACGGAGCGCTCGCTCATTTTGGGTCAGCTGTCCCATTAATTCATTTAGTTGCTGAAGGATAACGAGGACGCCGCTGGAGTTTGGCGAGCTTCCTCCTGATAAGGTTCCTGAGGGATCATACACGTCCCCTTCAAGTGTGACACTCTTCATACGCACGGAAGGGTCGAACGTAACTCGCTTCGCGGTGTCAGCATCCTGGCAGACCAAGGTGGTTCCGAAGACATATTGCATCGCAGCAGCAACCTCCTCATCATATCCGATCAAAGACAAAGCCAGATCCACCTTCCCCGGAGCCAAATTCTGGGCAGCCGTAATCCTCTCGGCGGATGCCCTGAACGATGCAATTTTGTTCAAGGGGATGATTGTAACCCGCTTTCGAAGTCTTCCATTTTGCAACAGGGCAGTGCCGGTCTCAGCAGTATCGACGACAACGTTATATAGGCGTCCACCGGCGCAGATCTCAAGGGCAGTTCCAGCCTGAGTTTTATCTTTATCCAAAGTGAAAAGCTGAGCGACCAGCCCTTTAACCTTCGATCTGTTGAAATTTGGATAAGGATCCGAGTAGTTAAAATCGATATTCGCAACTTTTCGCCTCATGGAATCAGCTTGGCTCCGCAGCTCTCGGATGCTTTTTTGTAATCTGGATTCCTCCTGATACATATGCTCTTCCCTACCCGGTTCAAATCCTTGCCTGGCAAGGTCTGACTCGAGCTTTTTAGCCTGCTTTCGAAGTTCTTCAAGGTCCCTCAAAAGGTTCGAATTCTGCTCCTTCGCCTTCCTCGCTCTGGGTTCTTCTTCCTTAATCATCTTTTGAAAATGAGAGATTTTAAGTTTCGCCTGTTCTTGCTCGGTGGTCGTGGAACTAAGTCGGTTTCGCGCGTCTTGAAGCTGGCCCTGGTAACCGTTTTCCTGGCCTTCCTTGGACGCAACACCTGTCTGTAGTGTTTGAAGTAATTCCTCTTTCTGTTCAACCTCGGCGGTTTGGCTATCCAGCTCAGCTTTTGCAGTATCGTACTTGGTTTGCAATTTATCATAAATCTTCTTTTTCTCTTTCAGTAGGCCTTGCAACTCAGTGACTGCCTTCTGCATGGTTTCTCTCTTTTCTACTTCTTCCGCCATACTCGAGGTCTTCAAGTCCAATAGTGTGGCTAGTCGCACCATTTCGTGGGAGTGTGTTTTAACTTGGTCCTCCAACGCTTGGAACTTGCCCCCTTTTCTAAGCTCCTTGTCACGAAGCGATTTTACCCTCTTCACATCTTCCTCTAGATGAGAAATTTCACCCTTAAGTCTCGCAATGCTATTCTCCAGCTCGGTAACCTTTCGCTTTTTGTTGTCAAATTCTTCTCCAGCCAGGCGTAACCGCTCTCCATTTCTCAAATAGTCATGGGCAACAACAAGCCTAGTAAGACGCTCAAGATCGCTTTGAGTCTGCTGAAAATCCAAGAAGGCTCTCTTCTCCCCCCTTAATTTCTCAAGTTTCGGCTCAATTTCCTCCTTCAGCAGTCCCTCGATTTCGCGCACCTTCATCTCCTTCTTTGCCATCGTCTTTCCAGCTTTCTCCTTCCGATCCTCAAACATTCGCGTTCCGGCCGCCTCTTCAATCATCGACAAAATCTCCACCGGCTTCATATTCAACACCTTCGTAATGCGCCCTTGCATAATCAAGAAATTCGGATTATTGATATTCAGTTGCACGCTTTGAAAAAGATTCTGCACGGTCTGCTGTTGCGCGCGGTGCCCATTGATGAGGTATTTGCTAGTCCCACCCAGCACGATCTGCCTTGTCACCGATATGCTAGTATATTCCTCGAATCCAATTGGAGATTTCGACTTGTCGCGATTATCAAATACTATGGTCACGCTCGCTTTCGTGACTCCCGCTTGGCCGCGCTTGTAGATCAGATCTTGCAGATTCTGGGCGCGCACAGTGCTCATATTGGTGATTCCGAGAACAAAACAGATGCTGTCGAGGATGTTGGATTTGCCAGAGCCATTGAGGCCGGTGATCGAGTTGAAGGATTCGTCCCTAATTGTTGGGGAAAATTCAGTACCATCTCTCCAAACGAAGCATTTGGCCCACCCCACCACGGCTAACTATATCGAGGAATATCAAAACGTACCATCCTGATATCACAGTGCGCACAGCATAGGATTTGAAACCCTACGCATCGAAGAAAGGTAAAAAGATCAGATTATGAGCCAAGGAAACAAAACCAACTCCTCTAAACCACCCTCTCCTACACTTATCGAGGGTACTCACGTCAATGATAACCTCCACGATGCGCATGGCTGCTTTCTTATCTTTTCCTCGCGGTTAGGCCCGCGGCAAGCCCCGAAATTGAGTTGCTTTAAAGGTACTTCGCGTGACCCTGTTGAATTTGTTCAACTCGCAAATGCCTGGCTGTTCGGAGTTCGATCGATATGTGCAAAGTCGTGAAAAGTGTGGGTATATGGTATATAGCTCGTTCAGCCGTTCAAAATATGCGATGATATTAGGCGCAGGCCGCTGCTCGCTTTCTGAAGGTTGAAGGTGTCGTTGTTCGCCTTTTTCTGCTGGAGGGGTGTCGTCGAATGATTCCTGTCGATTAGGTGTTTTGTTATCCTTCCGAATCGGGGTTCGGTTGTCAGGGAAAATCAGGGCTTGGCGTGTTGTCATTTTTCTTCTTTGGGAATACGTGCAGTGGCTTGTCCTCCGGGCTTAGTCATCGGGGGGAACTCCATGATGTAATGGGATCTGATTTTAGACACTTTTACAATGTAATGTTTGATATTCAGAACATCGTTGACACTAGAAGAACGTTTGTATTAAAAATAGAAAATCAGGTTATCCTTTACGCTGAGAAAATGAACAGCAAAAACTATATAAATGAGGGAGGGAAAATAATAAAGAAATATAAACGAAAAGAGAAGAGAAGAGAGCAATGAGAGAAAGAAAAATGCAAACAAATAAATAGAGTGAAATCTTATATCTGCATTTATCCCCAAAAGAGAAAATTATGACTCTTTTCAATCAACATATGTTCTGCCTGTCTGTATGCTGTCAGCCTTTTAAGGAATACGTATTTACTACCCGGTTCCCTTCTCACTCCTCCCCGACAAGGTTGGTTCCCTCTCTCAGCCCTTCAACGACCAATTCCTGTCCCTCAGCTCGTTTGTATATGTCCTTCACGTCATCTGTTGTTTTTTTCCAGTTAGTTCAGTTCAGCGCGGGCTTTTCGCAGAAGGGAACATCTCGTAAATATCAAACACAATTGAAAGAAAGCTTCCTTACCAGTCGTCGTTTCGAAATGGCTGGTGGCATCGTAACTCTTGGAAATGTAGATATGGTCCTTGCTGCCATCCTCCAGCGGCTCGTACAATGGGATCGGGGGACCCATGAATTTCTCTTCGATTTCACCAAGGCGCTCGAAGCCTGGTTCCAACTCGATGTGGTGGTTTGCTTCGTTTTCGGCAATGGTGGAAACGATGGCGATGTAGTAGCCCTTCGGGCAGACATTGTGGGCAGAAGACACCATCGCAATGTAGATATCTGGATTGTTATTTTCGTCCTTAGTAACCCGAAAACCCCCTCTGCTACTCATTAAATTTGGAGAGAGATGGATATTCTTTGTGGGACTGAAACATACCATGCTTTCGTCCAACTTGGGATTGGGGAATGATCAGTTGCAGGGAGTCGTTCGAATCCGTTTTATCGATTGGGTGGGTCAAAATACAAATGGCCTTGAGCAGGTAGCCGGTAACCCGGACTTTCCCAGGGAAGTATGTAGGATCGCCGATGATCTTCTTGGTTTTTGTTGTGAAGGTCATGCCATCTCCCGGTTCTCCTCTTTCTTTCATTGTGGCCTTTATACCTGACACCTTATCGCCATCGTAGAGGACCTCGTCGATGTTGGTGTTGAGCATGTACGTGCCCCCATAGATTGCAGACAGGCGAGCAAAGCCCTGAGGCAGCTCACCGAGACCAAAGAGTGGGTAGATATAAGGAGACTTGCCATAGCGAGCCATGGAGTTGACATAGAGCCGAATTCTATCGATTGTCTCCTTCGCCTTGCCGACCTCCGTAATATAGTCGTCAGACTGATAAAGGGCCATGGAGTGTCCGATAAAGTCCTTGGTTGGGGCTTCCAAGCCGAATTTGTCATAGACTTCTTTCATGGTGCACGTTGCCATGTTTAACCCTGATATACATGTTAGAGTGTATTAATTCGGGAAAAGGCAGGGTGGACAGATATAATATTCGAACCTTGATGGGTACTTGGGTTATTCTCATCAAACTCTCCAACCCACTCGAGGAACTTCTTCGCCCGTCGCTTTTCGAATAGACCCATCAGCGAAGACCGAAGCGCCTCTCCCGCATCAGACGGGACCTTGGCAACAGTGGCTTTGGGGCCGCTACCCTGTTGCACGTAGCTTCCAGCAATCTGCCTAAATTCAAGGTATCTAGTAACATCTGTTGAGACCAGAATATTGGTGAGTTCGCCATTCGACATAAGAAGCTTGGGGACCAGATCGACGTTCCAGTCGTTGACTCGGCCATATTTCTTCCACGGTTCCTCGCCAGGCTTCACGTCACGGAATTTTTTGAAAAGCTAAGTGATCAAAAATGGTCAGTGATGAGGTCTCGGGGCGCAACGGGACGTCTCTAAGGAGGACACACAGTTTCTATATTGACAGAGGCAGCCTCTCTATTACAATGGTTAGTATAATGACATATAAAGGTGTTTCACGGGAGGCGCGGGGGTTTGCTAGCTCACCCTCCATAGTGGTCGTTACGGTCAATGTGAAGGACCTTCTGCCCCTTAACGCTGAGTACGCTGTACAAGGGTATTAGAGAATATATTCCCATACATGTCCTACTTGGGACGACGAGTTCATGTATTTACCCCGAAAGAACACATTCCGTCAAACCTAGAGGGTTAAAAAGTCGGTCAGTTGAAGCCCAAACACATGAAGAGCAATGTAACAGTGGGGTAAAATGCCATACCGGTGCCCATCACCACCACATCGTATTCAGGCGAGATGTCTTCCATGGTGAAATACGAAAACAGGCTATTTCAGTAAAGCAAGAGCTATTGTTAAAGAACAGAATAATAAGGAGGTTGAACAATCAGCAGCAGTGAGGGTAGAAAGGTGGTGACGGTACGGGTTGTTGGGGGGAAACATGAACCATAAGCTCTGGGTTTCTGTGGTTTCTGAGTGAGGAACGTGGATTACTCCACTACCAGCCGGTTGGTTCCCCGCAGCCACGCTATTGTTGGAAGCAAGCAACCAACCTAACCTTCTGTGTTGGCCATGAAGGCATTTCAAGCCATAGCAAAATCAGTAACAAGAAAAAATAAGCCTACAAATGAGTTGTTCTATCCTCCTCACGCGCTTGTTATGTCCAGTACCAATAATCACAATTATTATTAGGAGACCCCAAGCGAGTAAAATTGTCTAGATATATTTTCACCAGTAGTAAAACTCCTCTATCTAGCTTCTGAGGCTGGTGTCCGTGCCCACACTACACCGCTAAGCTGTAGAGCTATTGAATTTTCTACGAAATAAAGGGGCCAGGTGGATGAGTTGATTACATATACTAGAACAGATGCTGTTGGGGGTCCCGGGTTGATCGGCCCTTCTACCAGCAGTGCGCTGGTGGTGACTGAGCTCTTTTGCCCCAGTAGCCTACAGGTTATGAGACCGTTAAGCGTGAGCCCCGCTGTGGTCAACATGCATGGGTTTGATCCCAGAATGGACTTAAATTCCAAACAAATACCCTGGACATTTAACAGTGTCAAGAGACATCCTAGGAGTGTGCCCTAGAAGTCCCTTGAGCCCTAGGACTGAGTCCACTGAGAGGAGCCACTATGGGGAGCCACTGAAAGGAGCCACTGAGAGGAGTACTGTACTCTGTGGTAGCTGGTCCGAGGGGGGGTGTTGGGGGTCCCGGGTTGATCGGCCCCCAGTAGCCTACAGATGCAGATTGTCCATCCATAATTCAGTAAGCTGACAAATTCAACGATTTTATAATACTACAAAAACGTTACTATTACAGTACAAAGTGAAATTGAGGATACAAAAGTAGCTCAGGACGATGGGTGAACCTTATGAGACGGTGATGATTCGCCTCTCGGTTCCTCCACATCCAACACTGGGGGTTCATAAACGTTCTCCTCCTCCATCACTTGTGCATCAGCGGGAGAGTACTCGCCACTTTCATAAAGTTGTCGGGCGTCCTCCCAGGCATACCATCTCTCACGAAGAACTTGTTTGATCGATTGTTGCGTACCCCGTACCTGTTATCCGGATAACAGAGTTAGATAATTTGTGTCTCCTTGGAGAGAGTGGATAAATGGTAACGAGGCGTACAATGATTTTTAGACTTTGCAAAGATAACATCATAAAAGACATAACAAGTGCAAGGATAGGATCAGGAAAACAGTTTCAAATACATATCATTTCTACCGGGCTTAAGCGGTCCCAATAAAAGTCATATCGGCGAGTGAAAAAATATCTCATCACAAAAATGAACAATCACAAAGTGTTGTCAAGGGAAAGTAATACTCACTGTATTGTCACGATTGTTAGATTCGTAGTCGCCATAACCAGCCTGTAGCCGCTGCCTTTCACAGCGGGCGGTAGCTATCCGGTTGCGTTCTTTCACGCAGAGCCAGTAGAGCTTGTGAAGGTCATCCCATGACTTTTGCCGAAGCTCTTGGATCGACCAAGCACGTCCTAAGCGGTAGTATTAGCGAAATTTCCTTGTTTACTTAATATTGACTGAACGTCCGCTTCCAGAGCAGTGTGCGCCTACCATGAGCATATTCCTGCTCTGGAGTTGGGATAGGTTTCCGATCTGGTCCAAAAAATCCCCAGAGGCCATGATTCGGGTTGCTAGGTCGTTTTTCCTGCTCCGTGGGCTTAACTGGCCGTGGTAAAGGGTACTTTGACACCGATAGTGGCTGCCTGGGTCCGGTCCTGTGAATAGCAGACACACCACGGTGTTTACTCAGGTCCCGTTTCAAACCAGGAGTTGGTGTAGTGGAAAATTTCGAGCATTGGAAGCAAGTAAAGCTCAATGGGAATTGAAGAGCAGGAGCAAGGAAAACAGGAGGCAGCTCGACCAGCGGAGTGCCTCCATATTGTCTCGCAAGACGAGTGATAGACCGTGACGGCATCTTTCCAGGCTGATGGGAGGGAATCGTCGCGCTTTTGAAGGGTGAAAATTTTCTCGGAGAGGAGAAATGACCTGAGACTAGTATAATCACGTGCTTTAGCGAATACGAGCCTCAAGCTTGGCAGCTTGGGCGGTGAGGACGCTTGCAGGATCAAGGGGTCAGAGATGGTTACAGCTGGAGATTCGTCCTGTAGTTGTAGTTGAGTTGCGGAGTTCATATGGACTCCATTAGCCGGTTGTTGATGACAATGTTACAAGAATGCGATATTTATTAGCTTTATACTCTCGAATGACATTCTACCTTCAAATCAAATGACAAAACATAGGAGCCTGTGCATAACGGTAGCTTGCACCCAAAATGAATGGTGCTAAAAGCTCAAAGCACGCCTTTTAGACACATCGATAAGTTAAACCAGCTTCTCAGAATGCTTCTCATAAAACTGGTGGAGACACCTGAGCAACTAGTATATTCCAATTCCACAACACCCAGTTTCAAAGCGCAGTGGGAAACCTACAGTCGCCTTCGTTTCAGACGAACTCATTCGATAACAGTATAGCGGTATTAGCAGCCCATACCTCTTCATATATGTAGCTATGTATCTCACTGAACTTGCCGTAGTGTATGCTGTGAGTCGGAGGGCGATGAACGAAAGGGGAACCATCCAAAGGCCCGTGTGCTGTGTATAGACGCGCGCTTAGCGCTTGAGTTTCCGCTCCTCTCAGCGGTAATCCTAAGGCATTTGACTGGATGGCGATGGTGTATCGACCTCATGCTCTTGTTCTCCCACACCTTCGTCGTCTTGTGCATTGATATCACCAGTTCTATCGCGCAATAATCGCCATACGCGAAAACCCGGTCTTAAGCGTCTCCGAAGCTGCTTTCCACCATGAATAGGCCAGGTTTGTTCTCGCTTTCATCCCTCCCTCTTCGATCCTGGTCCCGGGATAACTTTGCTCTACGGCCTTATACTTGGGAAAAGAGTCGTGGATCCTTCCTCTGCCGGTATGTTTGGATGGGAGCTTGGTGCCTCCCTACCTGGAAGGATGGTAGCTGAACCAAGCCGCCGCATTTGAGCATCATGCCGCACAGGGAGCCCCCTCTCCGCATCTCTTCACGCGCTAGGCTTTAGATCATCCCGACAGCTTGTCCGGGTCAGAATATAAGAAAGAGATACTAATATATCGAGCCGAGATGCAGGTCCTGGCCAACAGCCGTTGCGAGGGATGTCCGGCTTCCCCGCCCAGCAACAGCAACAGCCCCAAACACGACCAACAAATCCATCATTAGTATCTACGCGCCTCCCAAATGGTAAAATCGGTGCGGTTATTATTATATGGTATCTGAACTCCAGATTCATATTGATATGCTGACCGGAATCCTGTATAGGAACTGCGGCCAACTGGGGATTTGGGTTGCCAATGGGGGGTGCGCCTGGGTTACAAAGTAACCAGCAAAGGACTGTGAATGCTATGAACAGCTTTGCACAAAGCATAAGTGGATCTCAACCAGCAACACCATTAGATCTCTCGTAAGTTGTCATATCAACATATCTCCTTGCGCTATGCCTCTTCCTCCACAATCACATCAGTGTACAATTTTGCCAAGTCATCAAAGCGCGTCTGTCCTCTATCTTTCCCTGAAGGGATGCGACACAGAGGAGCTCCCCTTCGGGGCAGGAGAGTAGCACATTTACATCGCCACCAGTTGAAGCTAACTCCCGACATATCTTCTATTAGCGAATTTCCCTCTCTCTCCAGTGTTCCGCAACAATCTCAACCTTCCGCTTCTGGGCAAGTTACTTGGGCCAACGCCAGCCAGCGAGTAAATCAGCAAAGTGCCATTCAAAGACAATCCCAAACGCCTGCGACATCCCAACCGCCGTCCCGAGTTTCGCAAACCCAAGCCCTGTCTCACCAACCTCCGTCACAATCGCACGCTTCTCATGAAGACCTCTTCCCCTCCGCGACACAATTTGCAGCGCAGCTAGACGACTTCAGGAATGGAGGCCAAGGCATAAGTGGTCAGCTTTCAGGAGGAACTCAACCTCAAACGGGAAATATTGACGAATTTCCACCATTAGGGAGAAATGGGCCAGCGGACATTGGCCAGGAAAGACGAGCAAGCCTTCTTCAATCCGGAGCCTTTGGTAACTACGGCGGCGGGATGGCCTTTCCTAATCTCAACCAGAGCCATTCTGGGCAGGGTCGTACCTTACTTGGAAATATGGTCAATGGACAGCAGGATGGCAGGATCATGTCGCCAGGAGCAGGCGGGTCGGGCGGTCAGTTTGTACCTTTTTGTTGAGCTAATTTCTTTTTCCTATTACAGACTAACATTCGCTGTAGTTATGTCGACATCTAGATCACCTATGGGCCAGGTCCAGAATGGTGGACTTTCCCAGGAGAAAGATGTAAGCACCGCCTTATCATCTACTGTTGGTATTTGTGCTAACCGTTCGTCACAAGGATCTCGGGGCTTCATCTATGCAACGAACTATTCGACCTGAGGCATACCCAGAGCAGCAAAGCCAACCAATCATGCAACAGCCACCTCAAAATCGTCAGCAAAAATCTGGCAATTTTGGGGACGAGGGCCAAGAACAGTCACAGCAAGGCCAATCTTCTGAGCAAGCCCCGCTCACCCAGTTGTCTGATCGAGATAGGTTCGGGCTTCAAGGACTACTGAGTATGATACGCAGCGAAAATCCAGATGTCGCTACTCTTGCGGTCGGTCAAGATTTAATGACCCTTGGGTTAGATCTAAATCAACCAGAGTAAGTTAAACCCTCGCTAAATTTGTCACCCCAGAAGAGTGGTGGAGTGCCCTAGTAATTCTAACCAAGATTTAGGCCTCTTCATCCGTCGTTTGCTTCTCCTTTTATTTCGTCAAATGCAGCCGTACCACTCCAAGTGGACTTCACATTACCAGCTTGCTATAACGTTGCAAATGTCCAACCACTGCAGACCCGTATCCCTAGCTTCAGCGACGAAACACTGTTCTATATATTCTATAGCATGCCACGGGATGTCATGCAGGAACTTGTTGCAGAGGAACTGATGAGCCGGAAATGGAGATACCACAAAGTGGAGCGCGCGTGGTTGACTAGGGATGAAGCATACATTGTTGAGATGGAACGAGGACTGAGCGAGCGTGGCATCTACATCTTCTGGGACACTACAACCTGGAAGAAAATCAGGGTGAGTTTTCCCTTCTGACATTTTTGCTTTTGTGCCGTGTTTCATTCAGACCAACAATCTTTTCGTGCTTCGGAGACATCTGATTCCCATGTGCATGTACAAGAGGACGCAGCTGACTCAGTTAAAAATGCTGAAATTTTTCGAAACAACAGCGCGAATTCGTTCTCCGATACGCAGATTTGGACAACCATCTCGATAGAAGGGGTTATGCTCAAGGGGTTGCTTTCCCTCAAAATACTTGATGGGCACGTCACTCGACTCGAACCCTATTTGTTCTTGATGAAATGGGCTCTCAATGGTAATGGGTTTCTGCGACATTCGTCTTCAGATGTCAAGCACAGCTGGCGCTTGGTTGGCATGTTTATGATTATTTAAGTAGGCGTAGCAGAACAGCAAATGGGGATAGATAATTGAAAGCTATGGAATCCATTATCTATTTCCATTCACATTTTTGCCGTCCTTTTCCAATTTCTCTTTTTATTATTTTTTCCCCCAATTACCAGAGCCCTTCCACGTCGACCTTCGTTTTTATGCTCTTCCTTTTTTCCCCTGCCACTCTTAACCACAGAACCGTGGTCTAGTTCTACAACTTGCTTTTTGTCCTGCTGCTGCTCTTTTCTAGCATGAAGGAGTTCTGTTTAATAATAGTGTCTTGCTGCGATTTTTCATCTTTAATTTTGAGGGGCTTGATGAATGGAGAGGAGAATCTGAGCATGTTAAAAGAGTGATATGCTAGTTTCCTTGCTACCTACCTAGCTCGTGATGGGTTATATAGCTGACCCGTATCATCCATAGTGTAGGGCCAGCTCATTGTATTTTTTGTTAGCAGCATTTTGCAGGATGAGTACATATAGGGCGTCATTTTGCTTTTTATCTATTTGCTCCTTTCCTCTATCGATTATTAGCTGTGGAGAGGGCTTTGCTGGCCATACATGCAAAGTATACAGTTAACTAAACAATATCCTGCGTTCTCATGCATTTATTTGATAACGGTTTAGTTATAACCATAAAGCTCTCTCTCCCTGTGGAACACGACCGACCCCTTCTACCACCACCTCCACCACCCCTCGAAGACAAAATACAACAACCCACTCACAACCTCTCCACCTCAGGATCCGTATTAACCTTATCATGTTCCCCCACAACACAAACCTCCCCAGTATCCACCCTACTAATCTCCGATCTAACCAACGCCATCCGCTTCCCCGCATGCACCAGCTCATTCACAATCCGCACCTCCACCCCCATCGGCGCCGGCCGCACGAACTTGACATTCAACGTTCGCGAGACGCCTCCCTGGGAGAAGTAGCCGGGCTTAGAGAGGGCGATTAGAAACCCGGTTGATGTCACGTCGATTAAGGTGGTGGCGCAGCCGCCGTGGAGGGCGCCGGTTTTGTTGCAGAAGGGTTCGGTGACTGTTAGGAGGAAGGAGACGCGCGGGCGCGGGCTGTGGGAGGCGGACTCGTATCGGACGTGGTTGCGGAAGAGGTCGTGATTGTAGCCCTGGGTTAGTTTTTTTTTATTTTATTTTTGAGTGTTCGTTTCTTTTTATTTTTTTTTTATGTATTATGTATTTTGTCTGCTTGATATTACATTCTGTACAAATTGTGTACGGGTTTTTTGGGAGGTAAAAAAACAGAGGCATATTTGGTAGGGAAACGTTAAGAGGAAGGTTTGAAGAAAAAAAAAAATTTTTCTTTTAATTTTTGTGACATTGTAAGTGTAAAAGTACCTTGTAGTCATTATTTCGTTTCTCTCCCGCATGGATCGCCTTCATGCGCTTGTCGAGCTTTTCAGAGTCCATCATCTATGCACGCGTTTTGGAGAAATTGAATGCAGGCAAGCTCAAGGGGAGGGAGGGTATTCGGATGCGTGGTTTAAGTCAACTGCCAGCGGTTGGAGGTAAATCAAGACCCGAGATTAAATCAAGGACATCAGTCTGCGGTTAAATAAACAACACAAAACACATTGGAAGGAAATAGAGCGGAATATCCTGTCTTGCTATTCTTGTACGAGGAGGAGCACAGAGAGGGGAATACGGCAAAGCTGGTTGGGCCGTGGATGAGACGTAACAGGCAAAAAAGGAGATACCTAGGTATGCTATTATTATTTAAACCTAGCACGGCGAACGGAAGAAGTAACAAGGGATTCTGATGCATCACTCTTAACCCAGACAGGCCAGTTAGTTGGCTGGGTTGCAGGGGGGGGCTTGAGAACCTCGGCGCGCAGCGAGGTTGGGGAGAGAGACAGGCAGGCAAGGCAGTCTTTGCACCTGTGTATGTAGCCGCGGTCTGTGGTAGGGTAGATAAGTTGTAACTTGTACGCTGTAAGATGGGCTGCTCTGAACCCTGAGTCGCTAGAGCATCAAGCGGACTGGCTAGCCTTCTTTTCATCTTTCACCTTGCTCGAGCGCTCACAGATTGACAAGCAGAGATGAGGTTTGGCTTACCGTGGCTGGTGTCTAGGTGGGAGGTCTAGAGAAGCCTCTCTTCCAGGGGAGCCCTTGCTTGCCCACCCTTCCAGAGTCCAACGGCCGAAGAATGGTTGCACAACCGGCGTGTCGGGGACTCAATCAAGGATCTCGAAACAATCAACAAGCTCCCGCAACTGGAATTCAGCAGCTGTGGCGACACCGTCTTGGACCCTTCACCGGATAAAGTTGCCGACGCGCTATATAAAAGGTTGAACAATGGAGTCTTGTTGTTCCCGGGATGGAGGCAGTCATTCCTGATAGAAGACATGGCGCTTACTAACCGGACCCTAGATGATTTTGTCCTACGTCAGCCCTAACCCACGTGATCCACACATATTATGGATGTTGGGGCTCCCAGTAGCCTACATATTATCCATTGGATATATGATTTTGTAGGCTACTGGGGCAAAAGAGCTCAATCAACCACCAGTGCACTGCTGGTAGAAGGGCCGACCCCCAACAGATAGTTCCAAGGTTACTTTAGCTACTACTGCAGTCACATGTCTCACATTCTATATGGATATGAAACCTTACCTTGCTAGATAGATTTTATACTGCCAAGGGTGTTGATTCTTCTACGCAGTACGCTCTGTACAGTACATGCATTATATTATTACGAGATGAAGAGTCATCGCATGTTGGCAAGAACAATGAATGGCCTTCAAAGGCGGATTCCAATATCAACCCCTATTTTATCATGCCCTATCCGCGACCATACATAACTAAACGCCATTTCTGACAACTGACTCAAGGAGCCAGCTGTTGAAGGAGCGACCCGTTCTTGTCGTTGTTGAGATGGCGACTTCCTGGCCACTCCGACATAAAAATGGCATGAATATATATAAGTTAGTTATTATATATATATATAATGTTAAGGCATCCCTCACCCTCAACTTGGGGTATTGGTCTTTTCATCCTCTGCCTTTTTAAGTCCAAAAGAATCCACAGTCATCCAGCGTTGCTCTAAAAGCCCTATCCATTATTTGGCCTCCCATCTATCTATATTGCAACGTATTACCTATATGGGTATAGAAACCGGCCATAATTGATCTCCAAGGTTTTCGAGAATGACATTCCTAGCTCCCTACACTTCTCTGATGCGAATTGGTCAAGGGTTAAACTCACGTTTGATTTGAGGGGCTTCTTCTGTATGCTGATTCCTAGTATTAGGTTCAATTCCTATACCCAGCAAATCTGTATCGATGATGCAGTAATAGTTCATGAATATAACGATGGCTCAGAGAGTCAGCATCGTTGTCTACCGGGCGAATTCCCGCCAGATAATGCTGATGACTCCATGAGGGATGCTGGCGATGTTACGACGGAAGAGGCAGCTCAACCCGCTGATGCTGGTTTGCAACCGCCTCCTAACACGAAGACTGAAAAAGTCAAGGCTTCCAACGTGAATCAGACCGTCACGTATACTGCTCATGCGATCGACAATCTTGCAGATGTTGTCGACACCCTCAATATCTCCTCAAGTGCCACAATCAACTATGCCAACAGCCATAGCAATGGTTCCGCTAGTTTCGTAAAAGAAAACAGTATCAGCGAGAGTGACATCAATTTCATTGTCTCCGTCAAAGTGACCAACGAGCTCCCCATCCGCCCAACCCACCTGGAGTTTCGACCCCTGGATGGCTTGGATCCCGATCAATTCCCAGAGATATACGGCGATTGTTTTATCGCCGGCTTCCTTGAGGGTGGTGAATTTTCAGCCATCGTCAGTATCAAAGTCCAGGACAAGAATAAGATATCTAGGGTGAAAATGGCGGCGGAGATGCAGCTTTCTGCTACGAAATACTTCCAACCCATGAGCGGGGCAGTGGCTGATAGGGAGAATCTGGATATTTGGACTGATACTGATCTCAGCATTTCCGTAACCTGGTCAGGGGGTGGGAGCATCAAAAATCCTAAAGTAGTAGACAAACTGCCCCTTTTGTTTCCGCAAGTCCATAGTTAACGGGGAAATTCTAGGCGAGTTGGGACCTGCCAACTATCATCCAAGCTGCCAATGACTTCCCCGCCCAAGTTTCGAAGTATTCACAGAGAACTCAGGCGATCCTAATGAGCTACAACTCCGTTCGATCATTCCATGAATTTAATGCAAAGGCTGCACGACCTTTTGTTGTTCTGGACTATCGCTTGTGTGGTAAATGCCCCATTGACTTTGTTATCTACTGATGTCTGACCTATTTTCATAGAGCTATATACCGCCGAGCTTCTCAGTGCGTTCATTGCGTATAAAACTTTGTGGAAGTTGATCTCAAAAAGTAAGATACAATCATTTCTCCCCCGGAGAATCAACTTCTAACTTTTCAAAGTGATAAAAGCTCCCGATCTTTACCAGACAAAGGATGCCACAGACAAGGTTCCAAACCCCATTAGCTGTGACCCGACTTCCCTAAATCGAGCCAAAATCGACTGTCGAAAAGGAATGACCATGATCCTTGAAGAAGTACGTACCCCATCGTTTTCACGAGATGTGGTGCGTCGCACCGTGGCTAATATCATAGACAAAAATGCTCGCGCGAAAGCCACATCTTGGTATGGTCGATGAGAACGGCACTGTGAGGCAACTTGCCTGCGGTTATGCCTCCGAACTTGCTGCGCGGCTTCCCGTATGTAAATTTACCTACCCTATTTCTTCATATGTATTCAGCTTGCTAAATTTCTTGTTTTCTTTCAATAGACCTATATCGGATCATCTGGAAACTATGCTCACAATGGTCTAAGCCATGGAGCTTCCACTGCTGATGAAATGAACATGGTCAATAAATACGTCTCAGGTCCTTCGTTTCTTCCGCAACTAGGAGAAAATCAAGGAGGGAAGCTTCCGCGGGTTACCAATACATTCTATTCCACAGCTTCAAGTACTGCACCAGATGGACAAGTCGGGTATCCAATGTAAGTCCCCCAAGATGATATAATCTGAGAAGGTAATGGCCACTAAAGGTCGAAAATAGCACCCACCCCACCCGTGCCAGAGGAAGCTCAAATGCTGTCGAAAACACCGACGAAAATTGGGGACAAATGAAGCATAATCGATCTTGTATGCCATCACCTGGGTTCATCGCTACTGGAAGCCTAAACTGCATTGGTCTGGTCTACCATGCCCTGCTCCTGAAATGTTGCTTCCGAAGGACAAAGAGAGTAAAATTGCAGACTCCAAGGGGGAGTTCGAACCAGGAGGATCCCGTTCGAGAGGATCAAGTAGCAACTATATCTGGTGCGGTCACCGTCCCCTGAAGCCTGGTAACTTCACGTCTTCGTATCTGTCGTGTGTTCTGAAAATCTGGAAAGTGGACGTATCGCATCCTCGTCCTAGATTCAATCACTCAAAAAGAAAGTCTAGTGGAAAGGGAAGTCTAGTGAAAACGGAAGGAAAGAAAGCAGGACCCCCATCGGTCACAAGACTGTATATTAGATAGTAGTATATATCCCAGAACGAACGCTACATAATCGTTCAATATAGCTTAATGACAGTAGTCTCATAACATTGCTTCCAAGGTTTCCCTTTACATGAGAGTCACATGATTCCGCGTCGCTTGAGCCGCGCGAACTTCAAACCTTTAAAACACCTCGAATTATACTGCGTAAACCACTGCCGTGACCTCAACTCCGCACGCAGCTCGCTACATTGGGCCACTAATCTGCCAGTCTGTAGCAGAACCCCGGATAGAAGGTTGACTACACGATTCAATCTTTTCAAGATACCTTCCACACAATTCTCCTCCCTACTGATCTCCCGTTATTTGTTTACACCGCTCGGAAAAACGAATACCATTTTCGCGCTACCTCCTCCGCGGTAAGCTGGCTTTTGCCATTCTCAATTTCGCAATTACGATGCAACTTATCTATCTACCCTTCATGGTAATTTATACGCACGACTGCTAGATAAAAGTCATTGGACTTACATTGCATTCATTTGACCGACAATGGGTGACTTTGGAGGTCTCGCACGTCCTTCGAAGCGGAGAAAGGTCGTTGGGGCTGTTGGAGATAATACTAGAGGGGGAATGGAGGAGACTTCAATGAATGGACATGCTACTATTACGAATGATATGGCGAGTGTTACTAGGAGGGAGAAAGGTGTGAGGTTTGAGGTTGAGGGGTGGAATGGGTGGAATGGACATGCGGCGGAGAACGGGGCGGAAGGAGAAGATGGGAGGAGCGACCAGGGGGGTGGAGATGAGGAGGGAGAGCCGCACAGGGATAACAAACATGAACCCGAGCCTTCACCCAAGTCGTCTGGACGGAGCTTGAGGTCTAGTACGCGCCTGAGGAAGCCGCCCACGCGGTATGCGGAGGTTGAACCTGTTGGGAAGCCGAAGCGGTCTCTGCGGACGAGGAGGAAGGTGGGAGAAGTTCTGGGACAAGCGCAGGGGGAGGGTGAAGTTGAGAGTGTTGTGAGTCTTTCGAGGCCGAAGAGGCAAGGGAGAATGGCGAATGGAGCTCGGGCTGGGTCTGGGGTTGGAACGGGGAGCAGACCAGATCCTAACGTACATGCGGCACGAATATCGAGGGAAGGAAACGGGCGGCCTGCTGTCCAGAATCGGGAATCGAATGGGGATGAAGTGTGGGAAGTCCCTAGTGACGATGATGACGATGACGATGACGATGGGGACCAATTACAAGACGGAGTTACAGATGGGTTAGAGTTAGACCCGGCTGTCGAACAAGGAGACGACGGGGAAGAAGCGGTGGAGGGAGAAGATGAAGTCGAGGCTGGCCATGATATGTCCGCCCTGCAGCTGCAGCAGGAACTCGTGGACAATGACACTCCCGTGGCCGAACCGGAAGAATTACCGCCATATGCTTACGAGTTCAAAAAATTGTGCGAAGAGAGCGAGCTTGAGGGACATGTCGGGTCTCTCGCAACCTTTATTCTCAAAAAACTTACGGGTAAACACCCCATCCCACTCCGGTGCCTAGACTCTCAATATCAAACGGTTCATCAACTCGTTGAGCAGACTGTCGTTGCAGGAGAAGGCAACTCACTTCTTCTCCTTGGCTCGAGGGGCTGTGGGAAAACCGCAGTTGTGGAAGCCGTCATTTCATCTCTAGCAAATAACCACAGGGATGACTTCCACGTCGTGCGATTGAACGGCTTTCTTCACACAGATGACCGGATTGCTCTGAGGGAGATTTGGCGACAGCTCGGACGCGAAATGAATACGGAAGATGAGACAAGCAAAACAATCAGTTATGCCGATACGATGGCATCATTGCTAGGCCTCCTCTCACACCCGGAAGAGCTGTTCGGGGTCTCTGAGGACCCCAATGCCATCGCTACGGCGAAGTCTGTCATCATTATTTTGGATGAGTTCGACCTATTTGCGTACCATCCGCGCCAGACTTTGTTGTATAATCTTTTTGATATTGCTCAGGCGAGAAAGGCTCCGTTGGCCGTCTTGGGACTGACGACTAAGGTCGATGTCACGGAGAATTTGGAGAAGAGGGTAAAGAGTAGATTCAGTCATCGATATGTGTTCCTGCCACGGCCGAGGAGCTTTAGTGAATTCTCAGAGATATGCAAGGCGGGGATTGCTCTAAGTGAAGAGGAACTTCCTATGGTTGGTCTGGATGATCTGAAAAATCGCGGAGGTAAACTGCTACTTGATGGATGGAATGAATATATCCAGGTACATTTTGTCATCAGCTCCAAAACTCCAGGTACAAATCATTTTCTAAACACTGACATTATGAAATAGAATCTCTGGGCTGATTCCGCCTTTGAAACCCATCTCCAAAGAATCTACCACCAAACCAAGTCCCCCAAGGATTTCTTCACCAGCGCACTCCTCCCAATCTCAACTCTCTACCACAGTATACAACAACCATCCAACACCAACGCACGGAATCTCCAACCCCCGACCCCAAAATCCTTCTCTTCCCACCCTCTCTCCTGCCTAGACCCTGCTCCCCTCCCCTTTCCCCCCGCAACCTCCTCAACAAGCAATACTTCCCTCCCCCTCTCCCTCCTCCTTGCCGCCACCCGTTTAACCGCCCTACACGATCCAGGGCTTAACGCTACCCAACCCCAAGCGCCAACCCCCCTCACTCTATCCTTCCCCGCCGCTTATGCAGAGTACGTCCGCCTGCTGACCTCTGCCAAAACATCCGCGTCCGCGGCCGGTGCAGCAGCCACACCTGGCCGCGTATGGGGCAAAGATGTGGCTAGAGAAGCGTGGGAGCGTTTGGTGAACTGGGGGCTTGTGGTGCCTGTTGGCGGAGGGAGTGGAATGGGGGATGGCAGGATGTTTAGGATTGAGATTAGCTTTGAGGAGGTGCTTGATGGTGTTGGGGATAGTGGTGTTGGTGCGCTGGGAAGGTGGTGGAGGGAGGTGTAGGTGTTTTCCCCTTTTCTTTGGGCGGGTGCTATGGATTTTTCTGTTCGGTGATTTTGTGCCTTGTTGGGATTTTTTTTTTTTTTTTTTTTTTTTTTTTTTTTTTTTTTAGATAACTAGTTCTTTTAACTACTTGTTAAAGTTGGTGGGCGCGTTATGCGAATATATATATATCTAGAAGTAAATGAAGAAAGACCTAGCCGGGAAACATAGGCGTATCTAAATACCTAGCTTTTCTTCTACTACTAGTTTTAGGCACTTACTGCTATGATGTTCAATCGTTTTCGATATCTACTGCGTTCACTCGATACCCAGGGCACTCGCTATTGGACTCAGTCCAGCAAATGGAAATATGGCTGGCAGGCTATATAGTAATAGGCGTGCGTCTGCGTCCCTTTCTCTGTTGGAGATTTGTGACAGTACTTACTCCTCCCACAAACAAGATCGAATAGCACGCTAGCTTATAGGGGCTTTGAGAAATTCTATCTGGCAACCGCTTTAACAATTTTAAATGAATGGTAAGACCCTGAATTAGATTAGATTCCCTTTTTTTATTCATTATTATTAGAGCTCTGTCACTCTACTCCGTAGCTAGGGCCAATGATCCAAACCCATGACTCGGATTTCCCAGGTAACAAGAAGAAGATCCAAGGAGACCAGCGGTTTGTAGCAAAAATGAAACCGAGCCCTCTTTCGGTTCTAATAATTCAACTTCCCAGGGTTTGTTTTGTTTTGCTTCCAACACCACCACCACCACCACCACCACCACCACTGTGCATTGCTTGCTAATTACCTCCTCCTCCAGACGACTGGGAACCCTTTATCACCCCTTAAATCAAACCAGCGGACCTTGCAAAGATCATTATCTATTATTACCATCTCGAATCGGGCCAATTTGACTCAATAATGGGAAATTTTCGAGAACAAGGGGCCCCTTGCAAGGGTCGGTCAGCTTGCATCCAACCAACCCGGCAAACCGATCAAGAAAGGTTGTTACATACCATACCATACCTATGGATATATATGGATATGGTTGATATGGTTGGTTGGTTGAGGATTAGAACCTTCCCAGTTCCCAGCCATTGCATGCAGCGTGGCCCGGCACGTACGGTAACTACCAATATTCGCATCCAGCCTAATTTATACATAAATTGAGTTGTTTTAGAGATTTCAAGATGGGAGGGGGGGAAGGGGGGAAATCCCGGGATCCTGGGGGGCCCTCAAGAGAAAAATGCGCCACAAAAAACCAAAATGAAAAAAGGCGGCCGAAGCAAGGCCGGCAAGGAGTCGGCAATCTCCCTCTTCTTTTTACCCGGCTAACTTGGGTCAAACTATCTCTCCTATGAGCTTATTGAGTCCCTTCCCTTGGAATTTAGCAAGTGCTGTCGCTGTCGCTGTCGCTGATAATGATGATGATGATGATGATGATGATGGATCAATCAGGGGCCAACTTTTGTTTTTGCTGATGATGAGCCGCCATCATTATTTAATTATTGTTCCCTGGAGCTAAGAGGAAAAGGAGGTGAGGCGAGGACAGAGAGGAGAGAGAAGGGAGGGAGGGCTAGGGCCCTAGGAGAGAGAAAAGAGGTCATAGCCATCTCTCGCGGTGGGAAAGAATGATTGATAGTTATTGTGATGGGTCACATATATATGTAGGGAGTAGATGTACAGTACATGTACAGTAGTTACATAGATATCTCTCACACTTCGGCGCTCCCTTTTGCAACCGGGGCCTGTCATACAGCATACCCTGTGCTGGGGATGATATCTTTTCTGTCTGCGGCTTGTGGCAACATGTCCCGCAATGTCCCGCCAAAAAAAGGGGGAAAAAAATAAATAAAAAATAAAAAATGATAGATAGTTTAAGTTTCCATGCGGGAGCTCCGTTTGTCTCGGGCC